TGCTGTTTCCATTTGTTCACAGTTACTTTAAGACAGTAGTGTGGGTTTTTTTGTTTGTCTTTAAAAGTACTACAGAGGGAAGAGAGAAAGGCAAATCACAGCCTGCAAATGAGCTGTCCTGACTCCCTCCAGATGGCTCATTTTCCCTATCCCCGTCCTATGATCTACAAACCCTGATAAGGCTTCTGTAATCTGGCACCATCGTAAAGTGTTTCTTCTTGAAGTGCTTTAAAGATCCCCACTGCTTACAGAAAATAATCCAAACTCAGACCACATTTGAAGTCCCAAATCTTACTTTTGGGTGTAACAGATTTTTTTTTTCCTACACTAAGGCTGCTGGATCAGAAACAATCAAAGTCTGATATAGTGTACATAAGTAACAAATGCAGGAAATGGGTACAGTGAAGGGCTGCATTGAAGGGGGAAGTCTGAGGAATATAGCCTGTTAATTCACTCTCAAACAGCTTGAAAGAGGTTCAAGTAAAGATAAATGTGTGAACTGTAATAAAAAGAAAAATCGGCAAAAGAAGGCTCTTTCTATTTTAATCATGCCAGAATCAGATCAGTCCTGAGGCCTCAGCTTTTGAGAATTAGGGTGCATCCCTGTGGTAATGACTCAGTACTATGATTCATAAAATTGCAGAAAATGAAGAAGTTCTGGGATGTAGATGGCTCAAAAGCTCTCTGCAGAACCACAAAAAGAATTTAAATGAAGTTCAGTAAGTAAGCAATGCTTTAAGGAAAAGTATTAATGTGTAACAAAATTAGTGGAATTATGAATATATAAAGACTGACTTCAATTTTTGAAGGTCTCTCACCAGACATTAAGAAGAACAGTTAATACAGTCACTGAAATGTTGAAGTATTTGTTTAAACTGATATATGTCACTTGGCTGTAATAGCCAAGCTTTCCAATTACAATTTTGCAACATTTCATGAAAAGTCCTATTTTAAATACTAAATGTTTGCATTAAAAATCAGAACTGTCAAAGGAGGAAAAAGGCAACATAAAAACATTTATCAATGATACATGTGAATAATCTTATAGTAATCTTTAAGTACAAGGGAATCCCCCTCACCTTTCCTGGGCAGCAGCTGGGGTCTCGACTGGATAACAAAATAGAACTGAGGTCTGACAGCCATCCTTGGCAAACTAACTTACTATTGCTCCTGTAAGCTAAAAACTGTCCTCCCTCAACTCAGAAAAATGATTTAGTTATTTTCTGTGATATCACTGAAGATAAAAAGTGGTCAACTTACTAGTAAAATACTGTACTGACATAATTTATCAATCTTCTATTTTAATCAGTGGAATACTTTAAAGTTATATATTCAAAGATATCTATAATTATGCAAGAATAAGGGACACCGAGGAGAGATTAAAAACTAGTCTAGGCCAGGCGTGGTGGCTCACGTCTACAATCCCAGCACTTTGGGTGGCTGAGGTGGACGGATCCCCTGATGTCAGGAGTTCCAGACCAGCCTGGCCAACATGGTGAAACCTCGTCTCTACTGAATATACAAAAAAAGTAGCCAGACGTGGTGGCATGCACCTGCAATCCCAGCTACTCGGGAGGCTGAGGCACGAGAATCGCTTGAACCAGGGAAGCAGTGGTTGCAGTGAGCCAAGATCGTGTTACTGCACTCCAGCCTGGGTGACAGAGCAAGCCTGTCTTTTAAAAAAAAAAAAAAACTAGCCTAAATAAAATAAATCAACCAGTACCTAGCTAAATAAAATAAACTCAATCCAAAGTTGGCAGCTTTCCAGAAAAGCATGAGTAAAGTTTTTGGTTTCTATGACAGCAAATAACAAATTACTTATGCTTCATACAAATATCTTTGTTTAAAAAATACTCTTTCTCTTAAAAAACACGATAATTGCCAGATTGAAATAAAATCACTGCTTAACACACATGGTTAAGTGAATTACTGGTTTCAATACTAAAACGTGAAATCTCATCAATGGGTTTTGTAACATTTCCCAAAACACTGAATATCATCTATGATTATAATTATCTGTGCATTTCTTTTGCATAGTAAGAATTTTATTTTGTTTGTATTTTATTCAGCATAATATCTCCCAAAAAGGGAAGTCACTTGATCTATAAAGGAAGAGGGGAAGTCATGTTGAGCAAGAGCCATCTGGAATAGGCAGTCTGTGGCTTTGTGAATCTCAGGCTTGCATCCTATAGTCAGTGGTGTGCAAATCAAACACTCACAAATAATACTGATACTCTCTTTTACAATCTTCCTTATCTAAAGTATGCCACATCACAGTAAATATTTCATAATAAAAATGAGAATTTTCTAGACAAAAAAAGAAAATGTTCCTTAAGTTCAAAACAAGCACCAACACTTATGGTACAGAACATAGGAAAACTGGCTATGGTTCATGAATATTAATTATTTTAAATAAACACAGTCATCTAATTATGGTAAAATAATAATAAAGAACAAGGTTAATATGAAGATTTATCAGATTTTTTTGTCATAGAAGGTTGGTAACTTTGGCTGAATCAATGACTGTAAAAGGCTCAGAAATGTTTATTATTAGCAGGGTTCTTCAAAATGCTACATCATCTTTGAATTATATTCCAAACATACTGTAGTTCTATTCACGCTTCTGAAACAAGGAATTTTTTTTTTGTCAAGAATTTTATTTTAAACGTCTGATTCCTTTTAAAAACTAAAAACAGGTTTTTTTTAATTAAAAAATTAAATTTTTTAAAATTTATTAAATTAACTAAATTAACCCACTACCTGTTAAACATGTGTACTGGAAAAGACTATGATCTTAACATACAATTTTAGATTTAAAAAAGACTACAAAGAGATGAAAAATGGAACCTCCAATTCTAGTGCACTGAACGTCACACAATGAAACTTTCTGAGGAGACAGCAAGCACTAAAAGCCAGGAGTCTAAAAAAAGAATAAAGAAAGAAAATGGAATGTGTTAAAAAAAAAACTGAGTCACATAAGAGTTACTAAAGAAGGGGACAAATATTGAGAGTAAAAGAATTAATAGTAACTAACACAATGAAGGCATATATAATAAGGTACTTCAATATTTGAATGCTTTTGGAAAATACTTAAAACAGAACTCAAAACCATTACTGCTAAGTGAAACAAATATGCCATGGAATAAATAGTACATCCTTAGGCAGCTCTCATGATCAAAGCAATGAGCTCCTTCTTTGCTGTTCTCAAGTTGGTTAAATCTTCCTCAGTCACGCAGCAGTACTAACTGCATGAGCCTAGACTTGGGAGAGTCTGGCACCTGTGTCCCAGAGAATCAGTCTAATCCCAGGATGGCCCTAAGCCACCACAAGTCTCAAGAATACCAGACGGATAGCTCAGGCATTTTGAAGACTTCACAGCAGGGTTTAGTTCTGTGGTCCTGAAGCCAAATCAGGTATCTGGGCAGATGTGAAAATTTTTAGGGAGGAGAAAACAAAGTGACTTGGAGCCCCAGAATCTTGGCTGCAAGCATATCAGCCATGGGGAACGAAGGCATAGTTTTAAGCAAAGAATGAACACAGAAAAGGAATAATAAAGAGAGCTTAAAGGAAGAAGAGGGGTAAGCAGGCACACAGGATGACACACTGGCCCCAAATACCAGTCATTCACCCAAGAAACAAGGATAGTGATAATTTACTTGAAATGTATGTAATCCTTGTAGTGAAATGTGTATTATTATGAATCCATTCTGTCATTTTTAGTCTTTTCCAAGAAAGAAATTAAAACTATGCTCTATAACCCCTAGTTAAAATTTATTTTTATAAATCTGGAGGTTCAAATTTAAGTCATGGATGAAGAATAAAACTCCATTTCATGCTCTAATTTCTTTTTAAATACCTTATAGAGAATTTATGACAAATGCTTATTATTAAAATAAAATACAATAGCATGGGCAAGATGAAAAAATTCCAGCACACATACTGAGGCTGCTTGGTTCATTCCCTTCTTCCATGATGAGTCTTTGGGTCAGGTACAACCCACCTGACTTTCCAGTTGCCATTTTTTCTCCCTCGTGTGACAATATCTTTTCACAAAATGAGCAGACTATCTCTCCTTATTTTTAGTAAGTCCAACTTCTTCACATTCAGGCTTTTTTTTTTTTCTATGATTTAAAAACGATAACACTGACAAGAAATCCAGCTAAAACTTTCATCAAAATTACCTTGAAAGCACAAACTGGCCTCCCTTGTCTCAATTTTCCATGTGACTGGCCTTTTCTTTTTTTTTTTTTTGAGACGGAGTCTCGCTCAGTCGCCCAGACTGGAGTGCAGTGGCGCCACCTCGGCTCACTGCAAGCTCTGCCTCCCGGGTTCACGCCATTCTCCTGCCTCAGCCTCCTGAGTAGCTGGGACTACAGGCGCCCGCCACCGCGCCAGGCTAATTTTTTTGTATTTTTAGCAGAGATGGGGTTTCATCATGTCAGCCAGGATGGTCTCCACCTCCTGACCTCGTGATCCACCCGCCTCGGCCTCCCAAAGTGCTGGGATTACAGGCACGAGCCAACGTGCCCGGCCATGACTGGCCCTTTTTAATCACTACAGGAGTAGCATTGAGCCAGACCTGCCATGGTTAAACGAATGTTGAGAGCCGGGTGCAGTGGCTCATGCCTGTAATCCCAGCACTTTGGGAGGCTGAGGCGGGCAGATCACCTGAGGTCGGGAGTTCGAGACCAGCCTGACCAACATGGAGAAACCCCATCTCTACTAAAAATGCAAAATTAGCCGGGCGTGGTGGCGCATGCCTGTAATCCCAGCTACTCAGTCTCCTGTGGCAGGAGAATCACTTGAACCCAGGAGGCAGACGTTGTGGTGAGCTGAGATTGCACCACTGCACTCCAGCTTGGGCAACAAGAGCGAAATTCTGTCTCAAAAAAAAGAATGGTGAGACAGTTGAATATGATGCACCATCTAAATAGGACAATTTTCCTAATGTTTTTACAGGAGAGAGAGAGAATTGGGTATAAAAAGGTAGTCACACTTACAAGTCCACTTATGGCTACAATCCAGATGTAGGAACCAGAGGTGAAAAGCTATAAAAGAAAAAAAAAAGGCAACTAAAAATAAAATTCACTTATTTTTACATAACTACAGTCATGACCATTTATATAAAGTATTAACTATATATGCCATAATACAGAGAAGCAAATGGAAAATTAGTAAATATCAACTGTTATTTAAAAGAAAATTGTATATTATTTTTTTTTTATTCAGACATCAGACTTTGTATAGCCTAAAACAAGTTGAACCTGGCCCACACCCCATGCAAAGAAAAATAAGTGAAACCAAAGTATGATGTTATTTATAAACTTCAACTGACTTAAAGTAAAATACTACATATAAAGAAATTATTAGAATTAACAACATACAAAACAGGTAATCACCATCCCATGCTTGGCAATGATGTGATATTTATGTAAATAACTTTCTCATTTTAACTTCTTAACATTGTTACCCTAAATTTAGATGGGAAGAACCCTGCCAGCCTACTTAGGTCTATATTCAACGGTAACTTTCTCAAGTGTTGATATTCTCATTCTAGTTCACCCAAGGAAGAGCAAACTAAATCACAGTAATGAAGTTAATCAATGGCAAAAGTAATTAGAATTAGATCTCATGAAATTCTTCCCTTTGTTTTCCAAATAGTTTATATCTTAGAGTTGTGCTCAGGGTAATTAAAAAAAAAATCATAAGGACTCCGAAAATGTTCCTGCAACAAAGAAATGATTTGTGGGTTATTGTTGGTTAATTTTTAGAACTTTAGATTGGGGGTTTACTTCTGATTGTAGAGGAAAAGGCAGGATACTCAGGCAGGACAGCCCAGGTTCATCGCTGGCATTGTGCTAGATGAAAACCTCAAAGTTCTGCACACTTACCAAAGACACACAGAAAGAAGACAGACACAAAAGGTAAGAGTTGACATACTCACACAGAGAAGCTGGCAACCTTTGCTCTAGTGATAGGCTCACTTAGAAATGTGCACTGGCTGCGACTTTAAATTTGAACCTTTGATGTAGCACGGACGTTTGTTCAGTGGAAATGACTCTGATAATAATGATGGGAACCATGTAGACAAATATTTTGCTGTAGTTTTCTTCTACAAATAGAAGGAATAACAGACTAGCTAACACTTTCTATGTGTCAGGCATTGCTCTCAAGGCACTTCAGCAAGACCGAGTGGTTAAGCAATTTGCTGCAGGTCAACAGCCAGCAGGTGGTGGGCTGGAGTGTATCCAGGACTGCCTCCACAGTCATGCTCTCCACTCTTCCATGTCTCATATGCAAGTAAAAAGAGCATCTCATTTTGTCATTAAAAAAGTAATTTCCTCTGGGTTCTGAAGCCTCTCATTGCCTGTGTGGTCGCCAGTATGTCTGCCTACATCTTGCCAGTGTCTGTGTGTTTTCTCATGGCTGGGCTCCTTGAGGACAGGGGCTACATCTCACTCAGTGGGTGATAGTATCGGATGGCTTGAGAGCCCATAACATCATAGCCCATTGCACAGGGCATGATGTTATGGGCTCTCAAGTCATCGGATACTTAAATGAGTCAAGCATTTTGGCTCTTCCGATTATGATTCAAGTCTTCATTCATTCATTCATTCATTCATTCATTCATTCATTCAACAATGTCCCTAGTTGTAATGGGGAGAGAAAAAGGCACAGAAACACATGCAAAGACTTGGAGGGGAGGGAGGCAGGCAGAGGATGTACACTTTAGCAATAAGGAGTTCAGTTACACTCCTTCAAGGTGGGCACAAGTGGGAGTTGACACCAGACAGGCAAGAAGAACCCTGCATGCCATTCATGCTAAGGACCTAGATTTTATCAAGGAGCCAATGAGGCATCTCCACCTCTATATTCTAATCTCAACTTCTCCCTCTCAAAGTTACCGGAAATAATACAAAAATAATGGAAATTTATATTATTTTGAAAAACTATCCATGGTAGTTGCATCTACCTTTCTGCTTTCAGCAGGGCTAAGAGGGATGCCTCATGGTGAGCTGCAAAAACTGCACTAGATATTAGGTTGGTGGAAAAGTAATTGTGGATTACTTTTCCACCAACCTACTACAATGGCCCTGTGACAAAGGCCATGCTGTGTCTCTTTATCCAACTAAGATCCCCTTTCCCCGAGAGATTAAACATAATACTTATTTTGCTTTATGCCAAAAACAAAACAAAACAAGAAATACATTCACAATCTCAGAAAAATGAATGGTGGTAGCTATAGAGACATAAATTATTAATTAATAGTAACCAATTGACTTAGCTCTTATTATCTGTTCAGATTACACTAAACACTTCATGCTATCCTTCAAATACCTCTATAAGGTAGATATTATCATCCCCACTTGATAGATGGGGAAATGGGGGTTCAGAAAAGGTAAGTGACAAAGCAAATCATTACCAGACCAAGTCATTAAACCGAAACCCAATGACTTGGCTCCAAAGACTTTCCACAATGCCACACTGAACTCCTACTCCACAATTAATAAAACAGTGTTTTCATTCTCAAAGATTCTACATAGCTTTAGAGTTGGAAGAACTATACAGTCAATGTGAGGCTCAGAGGGGTTCCAAGACTCAACCCAAGTCTCATGGCTGGAGAGAGGCAAGATAGGACTAGAACTTGGGTCTCCTGAGCAAGGTCTGGAGTGCTCTTCAAATTCCACATGGCCTCTGTTATAACAGCTTTAAAAATATTAAATCTGCTATAGCAAATCCTACTCATAAGAATCAACTGCAGAAACGGGCTATTTGGTTACACGGATATCAGGTAGGATCAGGGGGGCGTTTAACAGTACTGGGGTTGAGAGATGGAGAATAAACAGATTTCATGAGAAACGGTTGTAAAAGTGGTAAGAAAACGCCCCAGATGAGCCATTGATAACACATGACAGCAGACTGGAGAAGTGAGAGGAAATGCTAAAGGTTAAAAGGGGAGGGAGGAAGGCATTCTGAAGCGACTCTAGTATCCGGTTATATGTGCGTGGGATAAGGAATGTTATGAGTATTAATCAGTGGATCAAAAGGCCAAGCGACACATGGTGACACAGGAAGCTGTAGAATAAAATTACATCAAAAGCCGTGAGAGTAAAAGAAAAGTGACAAGTAGTACAGATAGAAAACTGAAAATCATTCTCCTACCACAGACCTGGAGCCCAGCAGGGAGAAACTGACATTCGATGAGGATTGGCAAAGAAGCTTTTCAAATGTAAGCTGGACAGTAGTACTCTAGCAGTCTTCACAGCAAACCATTTAGCAAATGGTGACACTACCATCACAGCTACACAAACAAGGAAATAATGAAGCTGACAATGCTTCTTGAAAACTCCAAAGCTCGGGTTTGTAGAGCACACTCTTCTTCAGAGCTTTATTTGCGACACTGTATTCAATAAATTAATTTTGACACTGATTTTCTACTTTCTACTTTTTGATTGTTCTCATTTGTTTCCACTTCATACTATCATTGTTAAAAAGCACTCACATGCAATTGTACACGAAATGAAAATATTTTCCACAGATACAAATTACAGTGAAAGCTCTTATCAGATTTCTAAAGACTATGAAAGTATTCTAGTACCTTCTATACCTTGATGTTCTTGTTCTGTAACACTTCCTTTAAACATTTGATATAGATCATGAAGCCAAGATTATGGGGGAAAAAAAACCATTGTTTTCAAGGAGATCAAATGAGAGAAAGACCAAAAAAACTGATCTGGTTAAAGAAAAGTGAACATAAAAATGCATACTGTACCTGTAGTCCCAATATATAAATCAATGTCTTGTTTGTGATGGACAACGGGCCCAGAATTTGTGCCACTTGGACTCTTGGTATGGAGCAGTAAAATGGTACAAACAGAGCAAACACAGGTGCCAGGCTATGCAAACAAATAAAAAAAAATCACTATAATAGTGAATTTTAAACACCAATGGCAGATGTATCTTTGAAGTAACACTGCTTATAATTTTATTTCAGTCTGAAAGCATAGTCTTAGATATACACATTGATTTCCAAATATGCATCATGTCCAAAATAATTTGTACAGAACACTTTATGAAAACTCTAATAATTCTATCCTTATTGACCCTCCTGAAACCACCGCAAAGAAGTGGTTCAGCACCTACTAATTGTGAGAAAAGTGGAGGCAATGTTTTCTTCCCAGGTATTACTAAAATCTAATGAGAAACTAGACAAACCAAAAGCAGCAAACATTAGAATTCTTCACAGTCAAATCCAAAAGCCTCATCTCAGGCCCTGTCTAGTGATCTGTCACCATGGCTCTGACACGGTTCACCTCTGGCCCTCCCTTCCTCACATTCCTTCCTCCCTTTGTCTGAAACCCTGTTTCTCAGTGGTTGACCAGCGATTTCTTACACCACTCTTCTGGCTTCTCCATGGTTCCATTATAGCCTTTTCTTCTTGCTCGCTCATCTCCTCATATAATCTCAACCCTTTCTATAGCTTGGGCTAAGAAAATGAAGTGAGACCTAAAACTGCCTGCCCATTTCTGAATGTCAATTTGACACCTTCACCTTGACAGATTCAAAAGTCCTATGTGTCTTTCTACTTACAGTCTTGCTTCTCTCTGATCCATTTCTTAACATTGTTGGCAGTATTCTCTTCCTAAAACACAACTCTGATCACATCACTCCCTTGCTTAAAAACCCTTCCTTCCGGCTGGGTATGAGCGGTGGCTCATGCCTGTAATCCCAGCACTTTGGGAGGCCAAGGCGGGTGGATCACAAGGTCAGGAGATCGAGACCATCCTGGCTAACACGGTATAACCCCATCTCTACTAAAAATACAAAAAATTAGCCGGGCATGGTGGCGGGCACCTGCAGTCCCAACTACTACTTGGGAGGCTGAGGCAGGAGAATGGCGTGAATCCGAGAGGCGGAGCTTGCAATGAGCCAAGATTGCACCACTGCACTCTAGCCTGGGCGACAGAGCGAGACTGTCTCAAAAACAAAAAACAAAAAACAGAAACAAACAAAAAAGACCTTCCTTCCATAGGCTCCAGTATCCAAAGATAAAATGCTTCATAAAGATGTGATGGCAAAGCACCCCAGTTCGCTCTCATCACTGCAGATTGTTACCACTGTCCTCCTCTCTGCTTCCCCTCATCTGGACCATCACACACAAGGCCCCCTCAAAAATCCACACAGCTGCTCCTTGAATACGCTGGCTGCTTTGACTCTCCACTGATGCAGGTTCTGCTTTCCACTTTCAGTCCTAGGAAACTCAGCTTGTGCAACACCGCTCAGCTCTTCCCACAAGACTTCTCTGACTCCTCCTGGCAGCTGGTGGCTTTCCTCATGGCCCCCAAGCTATGTCAGTTTCACTGCTGCAATGAATCAGTGAATCAAATGTGTGCCGAGGATGTCACGGCAGGACGCCCAGCATAGGAGCTACAACTATGTCCAAGAGAAAGAAGCAGTCCTTGACCTCAAGGAACTCATCACAGGACCGAAATCTTACATTCCTACAAGTGCTGGGCAGGTAATATGAATGAGTAGAGTGGTTTGGGCACAAACTTGCACCCGTTTTTTCATTAAACACTTGGCTTAATTACTCAGTCTGTTTTATTTTCCCACTTTTGGGAAAATGGCACCAGAAAAAAAAAGAATTATTTCATTATCACAAGAAAAATGCAAAAAATATGTTTCACTTCTACAAAGAACTGTCCTTGGTGCCATTTTGTGGAAACACAGGACCCTCCTGGCCTCTTGTGCAATATCTCATCCTTGATAGAGACCATGTTATTCTGAAAAATGCACTGTCCTCTCAATTCTACTATTAAAAACAAAATCAAACCAAAATATAACAAACACAAAACAAATGTGATAAATGGCAGCTGCATCAACAGCTATCAACACAGACGCAGCAAATGCTAGAACAGGGAAAACTCCAGCTGATAAGGCCTCAGCGCAGGCACTGTGTCAGGACTGGAGACACAGAGATGCCAGATACAATGGCTGGCCATCCAGTGAGAAGGATAGCAGGGACCGGGTGGCAGACGGAGGTGCACATCACAGCGGGCTCCTACCGCCACTTGCCCAGTCTAGAATTCCTCACGTATCAGACCTTCCTCCCAGGCTGAGCACCCCAGGACAGGGAAGAAGAGGCAGTCCTAGTTCTCCTAGCACCTGGCACAATGCTTGACACAGTTTAGGAGCTCACTACATTTAGGGCCACAAAATAATCCTTATTCTAGAATAACTGTTATGACTCACATTTGAATTGACTATACAGAGTTCGCAAAAACCTCAGATTATTAATTCGGAGAGAAAGCATCATATTTTATCTAGCTTTGCCTAATGCAGATTCTTATACACGATCCATATTCAATATTGGTTGGATTTTTTTAAATTAACAAAGCAGTTTTTAAATACTACACAAAATAACTGCTTTTGTCCAATTACAAACCCAAGCACAATTGATTAAAACAGCTGGGCCTTCTTTTCATGGAAAAGTATGAGTTAGTCACTCCTGGGCATAAATCCTCCAATGCCTCCCCACCTACAATCATGAAAAAGACGTTCCAGGCCCTGAGTCTCCATCCCCATCCTGATCCTGTGCTCCGCAGGACAGCAACTTCTCAGAGAAGCCCTCCCTGACTGCCCCATTTCAAACCACACCTCCCACCCTCTCAGTCTTCCCCCTCTGCATTCTCTATTCTCTTCCTGACTTTGTTCCCCCACAGCACTTACAGCCTTCTCATCACTGCCAGCTATCGTCTATCTTAAAAGTAGAATGGAAGCTTCACACAGACGGGGATTTTGGTCTGTTTTGTTTGCTGTTTTATCCCCACTGTCTAGAATTGTGCCTGGCATAGAGTAAGGTTTCAATAAATATTTGCAGAAGAAATGAATTTTCCTTTAAAACAGTAAAACCATACAGCAGAACTTGCCTTTTGTTTTAAAAAGCCCCCTTCCTTTTTATCATTTTTAATGGGATTAAAACATATGGTTTCATATGTAGCTCAAAATATGGTCTGCTCTCTTGGTGATTATGAAACCCTACCTGGGGAGCCAATTGCACCAGAGGTCTCTTACCACAGAACATGCCCTTCGAGTTGCTTAATTCATAGAAGTTCTGTTCACATTTAGTAATAAAGTACAAATAATGATGTTATAACTAAATAATCTAAAGCAGAGTTCTTGTTTGAGGTTACATTTCAATGTGAACTAAAAAAATACTGGTAGAAATTTTAATGACCACTGTTTACATTTCACATACCAATAGAAGTTTAAAAATTCCTTAAAAAATACTAATCACTGTATAATTTTAAACGATGACTAAATACTAGGCCACATATACACATTTCAGACCAAAACTACACAGGCTGTTCTGTAGAAATTTTCCGTTGCTATTTCTATACACACAGACTTCACAAAGTACCATAATGTTATTAGTCATTGACCAGTCTTTTTCTTTTCCTTATTTTATGACAACATCTGTTCTTTATACTGTCAACAGTAATTCAGTTTGACCTTTTTTCATACTGTGAAGAACTACCTTCTGGAAGCCCTTTCTGGCTTAAGCAGATGAGGCTGTAGTACAGAAAAGAGAAAGCAGGTTATAAACATTTCATCCATCCTTTCTTTTTTTCTTTTATTTTCTTAAGACAGGGTATCTGTCTGTCACCCAAGCTGGAGTAGAGCACAGTGGCACAATCACGGCTCACTGTAGCCTCTAATTCCTAATCTTCTCGCCTCAGCCTCCAGAGTAACTGGGACTACAGGTGTGAGCCACCACACCTGGCTAATTTTTAAACTTTTTTTAGAAACAGGTTCTCGCTGTGTTGCCCACACTGATCTCAGTCTCCTGGCATCAGGCAATCCTCCTGCCTCAGCCTTCTGAACTGCTGGGATTACAGGTGTGAGCCATTGCTAATTCATCCTTTAATATCACTAATACTTACAGAGCATCTACTGCTACATATTCATGATTGCACTCGATAGAAAACATAAACTAAAATAACACAGATGCCTGTTCAGGTTGCAAATGTCCATGTCACTTCTTCTACAGAAAAGGTCACTGGATGTGGTGGCTCACACCTGTAATCCTAGCACTTTGGGAAGCCAAGGCAGGCAGATGGCTTGAGCTCAGGAGAGTTTGAGACCAGCCTAGGCAACATAATGAGACCTTGTTTCCACAATAAATAAATAAATAAATAAACAAACAAACAAAAATTAGCTGGATGTGGTGGCATGTGCCTATAGCCCCAGCTACTTAGGAGGCTGAGGTGGGAGGGTCACTTGAGCCCAGGAGGCAGAGGTTGCAGTAAGCCAAGATTGTGCCACTGCCCTCCAGCCTGGTCAACAGGGTGAGACCCTGTCTCAAACAAACAAACAAAAAAACAAAAAACTGTAAAGATCAACTCTACTTTTACAGTACAATCGCAACTCAAGAAACCCTGGTAACTTTCAACAGCAATAAAACAAGGTTTGTGAGCTTATGAAATGATCTAATATGCAGCTTCAGTGGCCTCTTACAGGATAATGACCCCATCACCTCTTCATCTGTCTGACTACTCTGATATCAAAAAAAAGGGGCTGGGCACGGTGGCTCATGCCTGCAATGCCAGCACTTTCGGAGGCCAAGGCAGGTGGATCATGAGTTCAAGAGATGGAGACCATCCTGGCCAACATGGTGAAACCTTGTCTCTACTAAAAATACAAAAATTAGCTAGGCATGGTGGCGCATGCCTGTAGCCCCAACTACTCAGCAGGCTGAGGCAGAAGAATCGCTTGAACCCGGGAGGTGGAGGCTGCAGTGAGCCGAGATCACGCCACTGCACTCCAGCCTGGAGAGAGTGACACTCCATCTAAAAAATAAAAATAAAAAATAAAAAATAAAAATAAAGTGGGGGGA